CATCCAGACAGAGAAAGAACCAGTTAAATTTTAAAAGGGACAGTGATGAAGTTTAATATTTCTAATATTTTTTACTGATTGTTCTTATTCTCTTTCTTTGACCTGTGTGTGTCACTAGTTTCATTTCATTTAATTTTTGTCTGATCCAAAAACATTTGCCTTTTCTTTTTATACAATTTAATAACAACCACAGGCAAATGAAACTACTGGGCTGCTATAAGTCTTCAGTTTTTCTTTGTCTTGGTAAAAGCGCCACAACTTGGTTGCAATTGTGCGGGCACTTTGCCTCAATTTTCACTCGTCTTGAACACCAATTTGATTTCATAGTTTTTCCTTGCTTTGTTTTTGTCAATATAGTGTAATTCTGTCTGCTTAGTCTGGCAATAGATCACTCATATTGAGATTCTTGATGATCAGGAAGCCCAGAAATTTACTAAAAAGTAACAATTTTTCACACATTTTACCTATAAGTTCTTACTATATTAAATTGGAATTTTACTGAACTTAAAACTCGCCCTTCGATAAAAATTCCTTGCAAATTATTCAAATTCAAATTGCAATGTCAGTTGGTCACGTGTATATGAACAATCTAACTGCAATATTAGTATAAAAGTTACAGTTCAGAATAAATTAAACTAAAGCGGCACCTAATTATTGCATAGTAATTACTAAGAATACTCTGTGGACTGTATAAATAGACGCGACACATTTAGGCCAGTAAACTTTTAAAACTGAATTCAAAATGTCCTCATTTCTGGTCTGCCTACGACCTTTTTTATTTCAACAACAGTTTCCTGCACAGAGGAATATTTTGATACGTGGAAATTGGAATTTGGCTTTATATAGAAGAGAGATTTACATTTTGCATTTACATTTCGCTCTGTGTCTTTGTTGATGTTATGGGCGAAATAAAAAGCTTTATTCTGACAATTTTCAAAGCAACTGTGTGAAATCCTCTAAACAATTAATGGTTTTTAAGTCATCCCATTCTGTGTGCCAAAGAACGAAGACCCATTTAGAATCATGACATTTTGGTACATTGAAATGTATTGCCGTATAAATGGTCAAATAATTACCAGCCTTTCTCTTATGTTTTTGTTGTGTAAAAACTGAAGCAAAATACTCAAGAGCTTTGTGTATCTATAATTAAAATTTTATAGTTTCCTGAAGTAATTAACAGAAGACTTAAAAGAATTACAATAAAAACCCACTATTTAAGCCAAGAATAGATGAGGAGGACGAATATATGTAGTGTCCCACGTAATACTGAGCCGAAAAAGCAAATAAATACACATAGGTATATTATCTAATGTAAATATTTGAAGATTTCATTAGAGCCTGTGGAAGTGGGGCTTTGTTACTATATTAGTGGTTTTTCAATGTCAGTATGGCGAGAGAACCAATTAACTTGTAGTAAAGTCTGTTTTTTTTTTAAAGATAATTCTCCAAGTCAAAAATTTAGTAACTATGTTGGCAACACAAGCCTTTCCTACATAAAAAATTTGAAAGCATTGACAATTTTACATTGTATTGCCAACATAAAGTCATTTTGACTTTTATCTTTAAAAAAAAAACAGATTTTACCTACTATAATAGTATATTACATACTCGAGATTTTAGTTAGACCTCGGCTGTGCCTCGGTCTAACTAAAATCTCTCGACAGTAATGAAACTTTTTAAAAGTCAGTAAAGTCAACATTACATGTATGATTGTAAATAAAATTATTATTATTATTATTATTATTATTATTATTAAGCAGTTAAGGGGCAAAATCAATAGGGCTGCTAAATGTATTTTTTTTTGTAGTAAGAGTGCTGTTGATATTTTATTGTTATGGCATAAACTATGTTGCTTATAGGAAGTTTTGCCCTTTGAGTTTACTACATTTCTCTTTTTGTTATTTCCCAGAATGACTATCCTCAGGGTATTTTAATTTCCATTGTCTACGTTCTGACCATTAGCTTCAATATTATTTTGCCACAAACGTTTGTCTGATGGATACGTATATTGTATGCCGGTAAAGAATAGGGAAGTTTGTGGATATCCAGGAATGAGGAGAGCCCAAAGAAATCCAAGTATGGGGAACTCAATGAAAAATTAATCAATCAGGAAATCCAAGGCAGTTCAAATTTAGGAAATATTCATCAATTAAAAAAGAAGGTATATCGATTCCGCAAGAGATACTCTTATCGCAAAATATTTCTTAATTAATGGAATTTAAATAATAATTTCCTAATCCTTTCAGTTACATGGTGTACATTACATTACATTGTAAGCCCAGAAGGTTCCAGCTCTCCAGGTCTGGACGGAATATCCGCATTAGTTCTTTAAAAGTGCTCAAACAAGCTTGCCGTTCCCCCCCCCAGTGCAAAATAGTGAATACGTCACTAGATCAAAAAAGGCTCCCCGCTGCTTGGAAAGTTGCATCAGTCACCCCGATATACAGAAGGGTGATAGACTAGATGCTGGAAACTACAGGCCAATAAGTTTGCTACCCATTGTAAGCAAAATCATGGAATCCATGGTCGTAGAAAATCTCAGAGATTTTCTGGAACAAGAACCATTGATTCCAACTCAACAACATGGTTTTGTGTCAAAACAGAGTACCAAGGTTGCCTTCTCAACTGAAGAAACTCCCATTGATGTCATATACTTGGATTTTGCCAAAACACTCGACCGAGTCCCAAGCCCGAGGTTTTTGCTAAAACTAGATCATTTTGGTGTGCTGCTTTGCACCAAAAGACTATCTTACAAATAGGGAGTACAAAGACAGAGTTGACAACTCATACTCTGGACTCTATCCAGTACAAAGTGGCGTACCCCAAGGCTCGGTACTTGCTCCTCTGTTGTTTGTAACTTACACTATAGATCAACCTAATGATATCAACATGTGCAGCGTTCGCCGACGTCATAAAAACTTATGGTCACGCCGACAATTCTGACTCGCTCCAGAATAATTTAAACCAAATTAAGAAGTGGTGTAAGGACTGGCAACTATCTCTTAACGTGGAGAAATGTCTGGAACTCCATCTTGGGAAAAAATAACTTTGAAAATGAATACACCATCAATAGGTCAGTAGTCAGTGTTCAGCAACACAGTGACCTTGGAGTTCCGATAACGAAAGACCTGGGTGACTTGGTCAGCACATTTAATAACAATATTCAAAAAAGCCAACAGCAAGTTATTCTTCCTAAAGAAGGTCTTCCCAAACACCCCTTGAGAAGCGTTTACAAAGCTTGGCACCCAGACCTCATTAGAGACCGTAATAGCCTTGAAGCTGTACAGAGAAAAGCAACATTATTGCAACTTAGTATAGTAGAAGACCTACATAATACGGGGAAAGACTGGAATAACAAAAACCGCTGAGCTTCCTAAATAGAAGAACAAGAGGAGATCTTATATTCACCTACCAAATACACCACAACAACATTCAAACAGTTAGACACCTCTATGCCTTGAACACAGACCAGAGACTCCGGAGTCACAGTCTCAAAGCTTAAAAAAAAAAAAACTATTCCACATTCTGTAGGAAGAACTTTCTATCAAACAGCTGAGACAGTTAGTACTACTTCAGTGACAGTATTCTAGACAAAACTAGTCAGTTCTCATAGTGCTTAAACCAAAACAAACACTCAAAAACTAACAGTTCTAAACCAATTAATTGATACAAGCAAAAATGGGCCTATAGGTCTCACCTCAGCCCATATCGACTAGATGGTAATCGTAATAGTAATTTTATTTCCAAATTTATCATATTGTCAATGTACACTCAAATCATGCTACGCATCTTAAGGTTCTGAAACTCTAGGAGTGACTGTTGTAAACTGTCACAACATACTTACTTTTTGAGAGCTATCACCATCTGCATGCTTAAGACTAGAAGTTACCTCGGAAGTTACTTGGAGCAGTTTATTTCTGATTGACATGACAAGAGACAAAACTAGATTATCAAGTCAGCCAGAATTTGGTCACCTCCGTAATTATTAGGTATACCATATCTGTCGTTATTCAAAAAAACCCAAAAAAATTATGTACCTATCTATCGGCAGTATGCTTTGCGACAAAAACGTCTTCTCATCACCGACAAAAATAAACTTTGTCACCCAGGTATGTTCTGCCTCTCTATAACAATACAAGGCAACAATAATTCAAGATTACTCCTATAGGGTGCGGCATTCTAGTATAATGAACAACTTAAAAAACATCGATGTCATCATGATGCTAAATCTAAGCTTTAAGGTGCGGTATAAACATTACAACTTTACCTATTACCAACATAGACAAAATAGGAGAGGCAATTTCTCCTTTCCTTTACTGCGACACATGAAGAGCCGAATAAAAATAATAGCATTGAGTAACTACGAAAATACTGCTTCTTCCTGGTCGAAAATCTAATAGTAGAATGATATAAATAGACATAAACTGATGTGCACTAATATTCTGGCCTTTGTTTACGGATATTACCAGCCACATATCTGAAGTGGACATGTTGGGAGGTTCCAAACATAAATTTCATATTTTATTATCTACTCACGTAAAGTAGAACATCCTATTAACCGCAATGTTTTTGTGTCTGTAATTTTGTTGTTTGCCAAATTAAAACATCACTTTCGTTTTTATTGAACATGAGTTTCAACTATTAATCCTCCATTATATTTTTTATGATAGGTCAAAGTGTGCGCCAATAAACGTTGATATAGGTACCTACTCAGTGAAATGATTTTTTTTAAAATTATTAATATGTATACACAATAATGTTTAAGGTAGATCTACGTCAGAGTTCAAGACATAAATTTAAACTTGGCAAAATTATCATGTTAAATAATAATAAAGTAGCAGCAAAATCATCATTATTAATCAGGCGAGATTTATTTTTAACGTTACAGGTACATTAAGTTTTGTAATATTTATTTTAAAAGCTTTTTTTTTATTGGTGAAGCAATAAAGCATTTACTTTCATTTTCACTTACTTACTGATCCACTGATTTTTTTTTTCAGAAAATAAAAATGCCTTTATCAACCCCTAGACAAATCAACAAAGAATCCAAACCGAGCGTCAGCAAGCCACGGACCTAATTTCCGAAAATTAACGAGTTTCAAAAAAAAAAATTATCTCGTCAATTTCCGCCATCGTTCGCCGATTATCGGCGCGCCTCGTCTACCACGGTGACGTCATCATCACCCAATATGGCGGCCACGGCGAGGCGCCGTCCAGGGACGAGCAGCGATTCGTCCGAGGACGATATCGCTGCCATTGCCAAACAGATTTCTGATACTGCCGAGGTGATTTATCAGAACTGGAAGTCGAGAAATTTGGCACCTGCTGATCTCATCACTTGTCATGGTGCAGAAGATACTTTGAAACTAGGGTAAGGAAGTTACTTTGTACTCATTGAGTAGATTTTTTTTTTATTAACCATGAGAGGATTTTGGTTTGCACTGGAATGTAGACCCAAGAATTGTCTCTAATCTGCACTGTTGTTCTTTGTGCTCAGATTAGATGTTACTGAGAAAATGGACATTAAAACGAATGCATAACCAATTTCCCGTAACCAATTTCAAAATGTTCTACATGAATCCAAAGGTCCCAGGGAAAATAATAAACGAATGATTCTCTTCTCTCATCATCATCATCATCATCATCATCATAGTCACAATGTCTTGCTAGACATGTTGTGAACCAAGTTGTGAACTCATGAAATGTACTCAGTCAGAACTGGAGGATTGCCAACACGCCGGTTGTCAACTGCTTTGAAACCCGCATTCCGTCATCTTTCGCGATTATATTTCACATCTACTCTGTCATATCTGTCTTGTTGTATCGCATCCACCCAGCGTGTATGAGAACGGCCATGACGCTGTCTTTTTGAGGCAATGACTTTCGGGGTACGACCCTGGTCAACAAGTTTTTCCATATTATCCCTTCTATAAATAATGATGAAGAACGTTAGGATACGCGTTGAATCAATGGAGGATAGTTGTTTTGTATTTCCGAGTTCGCAGGGATCTCTTAGAATTCTCCTTCAAGTCCACATTTCAAGTGCATCTATGCGGTGGCGATCTGACTTCATAACAGTCCAAGTGCCATACAAAATTATGGAAAAGACAAGAGACCGGACAAGCGACATTTTGGTGGCTTTTATGATATGATTGTCAAATTTTAGTTAGTCTTGTCATGGATGATCTTCTTGTTGAATGCGCCGATAAATTTAAACCTTGCAGCCACCTGAACTGTCGATCAAAGAACCGAGGTATGAAAAACTCTGGACAACCTGACAACGGCCTACTGATGTTATTTCAGGATGATTGTCATGTTCCCTATCAAATATCAAGATCTTGGTCTTATTTTAGTGGATACTGAGACCACATGCTGCAGTAAGATGTTAAGTAATGTTAACAATTCACCATGAGAAGAAGCAATAAGAGTAGTATCGTTTGCAAATCTTAAATTAGACATGTTGATTACACCAACAGTTGCATCACCGTGCCAGCTGTCCAAAAGGTTGCAGTCAGCCTTTCGCGAGGTGGGCAGGGCCGGATCTACGAATTTTTCGAGGGGGTCAAAGATGTGAATTGCCGCCCCCTGCTAAATATTATTTTTTATGTATATATCAAAAATGAGGTGTTGAATTTCACAATTTATTTACATGTAGCAGTAGCGGCTCGTGGTCTGTACTGGAAGGGGTTCACACCCAAAGTGATCCAGTACTCTAGTAGTTGAAGCCCAGCGCGTGGAATCCAGAGTTATATAGCGCACCGCGGGTGCCTCCAAAGACAGAAATTATTTTTGGGTGCCACGCCCGAAAACGTATTTCGAGCCTCCAAAAAATTTTTATTGGGATATCAAAGATTGATTAAAAGAACTTAATTTCTTTAATCGCTCAATATTTGACAAGTCTTTTTATCTGGGGGCTGGTAGCGCACAATACATAGCTGTGGTCGGAGCCGGATTTAATGTTGTACTGTTGTACAACCAACAACCAGGGATGCTATCAGCACTGAAAAATTTGTACCAGAAAGTAGAGAATAATTGTACTAGATTGGCGACATTGACTAGTGACTACTAACTAAGCGTCAAACTTTGAAATTTCAATACTCTGTTAATTGGGGGTAAATATCACTTGTTTGGATGATAGAAATAACTAAATTTTTACATAGGTATTTAGTTATAAATCGACTACCGATTACCGTGATCGGCTGAATAACCGAATAACCCCCGATACACACGTCAAGTCACAAAATAGAAAAGTGCGCGTGTGTTCGAAACCATAGGCAATTTTTCGCGAGGATAATCAAGCCTTATCTTATACTCACTGATCTCATACATAAACAAAAAACGCTTTTAATGCTGCTAATTTACGATGTCCTAATGTAAACAACTGGGACAGCTGTGAGCGTGCGCAGTAGATACATTGTACTGTGCGTGCGCAAAATATTGTCAATGGAAATGAAGGATATTCCAAAATTTAGAACAGTTGTTCGAAAAATAACACCACGCAGGCGTTAGGCTGTTTCGTCGCACAACTGTTCGTAGAATATTGACCCCAAATTTTCGCACAAGTTTAGCCAATCAAGCCGTACGATTGTTTATCCATTTATTTTTGAGATCAGTGCTTATACTGGATTATGTGATATGTCAATTGTGTCATACGCGTCCAAGTGTCATATTTCCCTAACTCCGCCACCATTAAATTCTGGGATACCCAAGGATCAAGAACTTCTGTGAGGACAGACGGGAAATCACCTTTTCTACATTTAAAATCGACGAAAAAATTACACTAGCACAGCCTGAATCGCAAGCATTTCATAGATGTCTGCGGGTGACGTCATCACTATAAGCTGCTGACAGTGACGTCACTCCAAGCCCAGAATTCGATGGTGAGGGAGTTAGGGGAGTATAACACAATTAGGCTCTCCAAACCACGTGATTTTTCAATATGGCGACCGTGGAAAATTTGACGTTTGTTTGTTTATCTTGAGTTTATTTGGAATATTTTCAAGCTAATTACAGTTTATTTTGTTATAATAACTTTTTGAGATGCAGAGTGAATATTTAAAGACTTGAATGCAGGAAAATCGGGATCTGGGCGAACGGTTAGTTTAAAAAAATGTCCAGATGACATTTTGATCCACAGTTCACATTAATGAGCAAATGAAGGCGTACAAAAGCTTAGATTCTTACGAATATTTCGAAAATGGCTTCATTTCAGATGCAGGAACAGTGGTAGTGAAAAATGTTCATGTTTTAATTGGAAAATTTTAAAACAAAGGGCAATGAAAAAAGCCTGACATCATCCTTGTTACCTTGTTGAAACTACTTCCACAATCAACTACAAGACACGTTTGTGGCATTTTTAAATAGAAAAAACATTAATGAATTCAATAAAATAGAGAAATAAACAGAGTTCATTCACAAAACAACCACAAAATGCACTTTAAAAAGCTTTAAATTACATACTCTCATATACGGGATAATGAACTTCTGCCACAACGCACTTTTTGACAGGTCGTTGGAATCCCTAATTGACACATCACATAACCCAGTATAATCGGATTAGGCTTGATTATTCTCGCGAAAAATTGCCTTATATTCGATACGCCAAATCCTAGTATAGAATTCTACTTGTCGTGATCCCAGCCCTGGAACGTGGAACGCAACACCCAACCCACCAGTAAAGAGTAGAGCTCAGAACTCGAGTACGGTATTATACAGAGCAAACTTTGCCTTGAGTAAGGTTAGTGTGGGGTGGTCGGCTGTTCTATCAGAAGATGTGTTACAATATTAGATAATGAATTTGAAAAAAATATTCGCTAGATATGTATGTTTTATGAAAAAAAGTAAGGCAGTGTCTTTCAAGGTGTCTTCTCTTTTTGCCGCCCCCTCAAGATGCGAAGAGGGGCACGCACCCCTGTTCGCCCCCCCCCCCTAGATCCGGCCCTGGAGGTGGGATTGCTTCCCTTATTATAGTGTCTTTTTCTTTCTATCAAAGGCGCTAACAATGATAAAAGCTGCAGCTATGTAGGTATCTTTATCCATACGTAGATAATTGTGTCAATCCTTTGGAACCAACTTCAATTCATTCAGCAAAATGATAGAATACTCGCCTTTTTTTCACCACTCTTTATACCGTATTGTACGTTTCTTTTTGTTTGTTTTTTTTTTACCGAGAGCGATTACTAAATTAAAAAGTGATAGAAACGCGTCATCGTCAGTAGGGACCATGATGATTGAGAAGAAGATTTCAGATTCGCCTGAACATTTGGAGGGTCATCAGTCCATCCGGCGACCGGCCGTGAACTGTTCAGTTCGAACTGACTAGCCTGCCGGACCGTGTGTTGCCGGCTTTACCTGTCTCATCATAAATTCATATTGTTAAATAACATCGGCGATAACACGCATTCCTGACGAACTCCTTTTCTTGTTGTCAGACATGTAACCGTCAATTCTTACTCGAGCTGTGTTGGGATCTTAGTGCTGTTGTATGACAAATATCAGCTGGTGAGGAACTCCCATAGAGAGAAGAATTACACATAGTTTAGGCCACTTGACGTTATCAAATGCTTTAGATTAATCCACAAAGAAGATATAGACTGGAAATGTTGATGCTCTCTGGGTTCAAGATCTGTTCGCGCGTACGTACCACGTATCCTTTGGGAAAGACCTTCTAAACGAGACGGCAGAAGTCAGAATATACAGCATAACCTTGCTTGGATGAGAGTCGATAGGTAGGAGACATTTTATCTCTGAGAAGATCACGCCTGGATGGTCTGTATTAGCGTGGGACTGTATCTCCCTGCATAATCCAATTGTCTATACCGATTGTACTTTGCATCAGAATCCAGACCTGAGATCTTAAGCTCTCTACGTGCCTCAATGACGGTCAATGTACAATGTATGGGTGGTCGCCCATATGGCTGTTTAGGTTGAGTAGTGCTGCATTTTGGTTAGGTTGTTTGGGCAGCTTGTGCTTTTTTAAATGTTAACCACATATTATTAGGAGGCACTCCAAAAATGCTGAGAACATGTCCGAAAAGAGGCAGGGTCAACTATCTCTGTTGCTTAGAACATGGTCATATCTTCAGCTTAAGCACAACGAAGGAGTTGATGGTCTGAGTCATAATCGGAACCTGTAAGAGCTTTACAAAGACTAATAGATGACCTCCATCATGTTCCAACCAAAACGTAATCGATTTGATTGCGATATTGTCCGCCTGGTGAGACCCAGGTATACAGATGTCGTGGATGTTGTGCAATGGAGAAGCTGTGGGAAATACAAAATTGGAGCAGACATTGACCCCTTTCGTTTCTAGCACCAAGACGGAATTTACCAATATGAAAACTAAGATGTTCATCTTCGACTGTTTGGCC